AAGGATCTATCCGTAAAGAACACCGGGTTTTTGGTTCTTTTGTGTAAGTTGAGATTTATGTTTTCAATTAACAACTTCTCAACTTTTGGTTTAAAGTGCTGACTTTTAATAAAGGTGATGTCTACATTTTCGATTGGCTGAAGCTCTACAAAACTCTCTTCTATACCTTGCTCAAGAACAGTAGGTGCAAAAAACCAGAATGCAGGGATTAGCATAGACCATTTATTCTCTTTCTTAACAATATTTTTAACTTAATGAAGGTCTTGTGTTATCGACTTCTTGCCTACACATTGGTTTGCTTCATTTGCTATATTTATACTACATCCAGTACATCGATGCAGTAACTCTGTATTGTGACCGGGCTCCGTTAGCCAGTGTTCGAAGTATGTATCTTCACCATTAGCATCTAAAACATGACTAATTACCAGAGCTGTTGAATCTTGATCTTTCAGTACTATCTAGGGCTTGCATCTCTTGTCCATTTTTGATTTCTCGAGCTGTACTAGGAGATACCTTGGATTTTCGCGGCCTAGCTGATATTCCCTTTTTAGTATTCTTCTCTTAGCTGTAACCAAAACCTTCTTTTCTACTTCGCTAAACCACCATGCTTTCATTCCAGTCATACCTTTACCCCTTAGAGCTCTGAGCTGTTGCCACATTAATAGTGTGTTGCCTTCATAATCAATTATTTGCCCTAAGAAAAAAATTTCTAAATTGATGTGAGAATTTTCACTCTTTTCGAATACTTTGGGTGGTATTAGATCCTCTATCATAGGGCCTCTGCCCTTTATTTGCCACCCTTGTTCATCTCTACTAAGAAATACTTCGAACTGTTTGCACCTTTCAACTGTGTTACAGGCGATATTGCCTCTCCACCTAGTCTTGCCTATCTCAGCAACAGTACACTTCCAAAAATCTTGGCTTATCCCTTTATAAAAAATACCTTGTCTAATTCTAAGCCTTGTAATTCTACCTATTGTTAGGGATGGAAAAAAAACATTTTAAACAGTTTTTTAGATGTTTTAAAACTTTTTAAAAAACTTTTTAAAACATTGGCGCTGAGACTAAAATTTAAA